AAAAATATTTTTATATTGTTTTTAAAATTCCCTCCCAGTTGCCCTCTTTTCCCCCCCCCCCCCCCCCCCCCCCCCAAATTGTTATGAATATTTGTAGTAAAAACATTTTTAATTACTTTTATAAGTGATAGAGCTCATTGTGAAAAATGTAAGAATATCCTGCTTTGATATCTCCAGGTAAGAAAGAAGATAAAAGGTGTGTAAATCCATAATTAGATGTCTAGAGTGCTAGACAGAGAAATGGCCCCTATCAGAATCCTGATACACTTAGTGTGTTTTTGTTGTGTTGTTATTTTGAACATACAAATGCTCTTGATTCCAAACTAAGCACGTGCCATGGCAGGAACTATGTATGGTAACAAAGCCAGGCAGAACACTGACACATGTAACGGAGCAGAGTGCACTTTAGCTGTATTTCAGCATTTTCCCAACAAATTCTAAGGGAGAGATGGAGAATCTGGGGATCACGCTATTGGCAGACGTGAATCCTGCAGTATTCCCTGCTTCTGCATGGGCAGATTTTCCTTGGTATGAAAATACGCCTAGGCTTTCCACTTCTAAATAGGCAATGTCTGTCACTTAGTGGTCTATACAGCAATTCAGGATATGACAGTACAGCACAGTACAGAACCTTGTGCAGACATGAGGAAGGTAGGCAGGAGATGATCTTTCACCAGATTAGACTGCCCAGGGCCCTATCCAACCTGACCTCCCTATGGATAGGGCATTCACATACTCTCTGAGCAGCCTGTGCCTTGCCATGCTCTTAGTAAAGAATTTTTCCCTTACATCTAACAGGAATCTACACTGTTTTAATTTAAAGCCATTACTACATCATCTCTAACTACAGTCCATTATATATGAGACTCCCAGATCTTATATGCAGAATAAAATATGGAAGCGTTTGCCTCTTAGCTGATCTCTCAGGTTACTACACTCTTATAGTAAGACATATAATGCATATATTTCCCAAACATTCTGTTCCTTTCTGCGACCTAACTTCCCATACTGTACTTATAAAAGCTACCTTACCTTAAAAGCAAAGAAATGATCTGTGTATTTTTCACCGAAGACAAACTTAGCACCTGTGTCAGAGTACTCCAGAAAAGTCTACAGACAGAATAAAATGAAATTAGTAATAGGCTGTGTGTCATCAACAAAAAGCATAGCAATACTGCTAGATTTGTTGCAGCAATTTTCTTGTGCTATGCTATTTATGGGTAAAGGCTTAACTGAGCTGCATCAGTTAGGGGTTTCTGCTATGTTCTGCCACAAGTGCATACTATTTCCAACTGTGTAAATGAACAGCACAGGACAAGTTTTCCTGCTTTACTAAGAGGAGAATGTATTTTTTAATCCTGATACTGTGGTATTCTACACTCTCAATGTAAATACGTACAATAAATGATACTGTTTGAAAGGGAGATTTGATGGTTGAGGTAGTCAGTTGTAAAAAGAACAGTCAAAAGCTGACATAAAAGAAGATTTTACTTTTTAATTCTGGTATTGTGGTTCATTCTTATATTCCTGACACCAACATGTGCTATCACTGATAAAATGTAAAATAGAGATGTAAATGGCTAGTTACAATGACAGTGGCCATAAGCCACATGGAGCTAATGAGAGGGGGCACTAGATGTGCTTCAGTGGGAACTGAAAGGGAAGGCTGAGAATCCAATGACAAAACCCAGGTAACTTCTGTTGCTTGCAGGGTAGCAGCAAACAGACGTCAGATGTGTGCCTCCACTCCTGTGCAGAGAGTACATTCTGCCCTGTCTTACTTTAAAGGCACTTAATTATCTGTACTGTGAAGAACTGATGCATAAATAGTAACTCCGTGATGAAAAGTCTGAATGTCCTTCAGTGAGTACTCTCTAGTCTGATTTTTGGATTTTTCTTATTTAGTACTTTGCAACAGCGAGCTTATTAAAAACCTTTGTGTCTGCAGACTACCTTTACAGATACCTACAATCCTGTCCCCCTCTAGAGATCTCTTACTGTTTGCAGTGACCTGGTTTGCTTTGTCCCAGAGGTGGATTCTTCTACTTGTTCCTTACTTTCTTATATGTTGTGATAAGTCTTACAAGCCCCTGGAACTACAACTGTTCTGAAGATAGTGGTTTTTCAGGCTTGCTAAATCTCAAAGCTTTTCAGCATGTCAAGATTTTTAGAGGGATATTTTGGTGTTGGACCAAGTGTTAGTATTCCCATGAGGGAACTAGGATAAAAGCAGTTTTGCATTTGGAGGGTTGCAAGATATGATTTTATCCCAAGGAAGGTAAAGACAAGACAACAAACTCTGGTCAGTATTTATCAACCTGTTGCACGTGGTCTTGTGGTATCTAGGTTAGACAGAAGAGAAGACTGAATGTAGGTTGTCAGTTACTATTCAGAACTCAGTTTTCCTCATGAGGGAAAAACATCTAGGGGCAAATAGATTGTTGCACTGCCTGACTGTTAGGTAAGAGCCTCAAAACAGAAAATGACATAAGAAATAAACAGTTATGTTCAGTAGCTTACCTGGATCTGAATGCCTAGCCAGTTAAATACATCAAACCCCAGTTTTGTCCTCAGGATAAGAACCCCAAGAATAAACTGCATTACTATTCCTGAAAACACTGGTCTCCAAGCAACCTAGATGGACAGGAAAGTAAAAATGGTGAAACTTCTTGTTGTTTAATATGTAACAATATAGTTCAGATGTTTCTTAATATAGTGCTTAATGGATTGTTTGGCTAGCCTGCAGGGTAGCAGCAGCTGCCAAAGCAAGGGTCTCAGAGCATAAGTCGCTCCTAATGGGAGAACTTTGGGGTGTGACTATCTCTATCTAAGTGCTGAAAATCTGGTTATATAAGTGTGAACATGCCCATTTCACCAACACAGATTGCAAGCAAGCAAGTAATAACAAAAGGAGAGACAGTTCTTCCTGTGTTATAGTTTAAAGTTGAAATAAACAGACATGATGGCAGCAGACAAGTGATACTTTGACAGGGTTCTTCCTGTCTCTCTCTTTCTTTATCCTCCTCCATCCCTCCCTCCCTCTCCATGTTTTTTTTTTTGTTGTTGTTGTTGTTTCTTTTTTTCCCTTTTTTTTTTTAAACTGGAATCATCATCCAAAAAGAAATAACTAAGGTGATTTTTTAATTAAAAAAAAAAATTTCTACACAGACTTTATCATATGTTTGAGTAATTGCAGCTGTATATTTGTCTTCTCCATATACTTGGGAGCTACTTAGTGCTAGCTATTGCTAGTCATGCGACACAGTCAGCCACAGGAAAAGCCATGTCTGTATTTGAATGGCCCCTCTTTGCTACACACACAGATTTCTGCTCTGCTGCCTCAGGAAAACTTCATTTTATTTCATGAAAACTGCATCTGATAATTAACAAGACAAATTGCTGAGATGGCTCTTGTTAATTCATTCAGTTGGCATTTTAATAATATGAACCAATTAAGTGTAACCAGGACCCGTTGGACAGCACAAAGTTTTTTGGAAGCTGAGGTGGGAGTTGCCATGGCTTTTGTGATATCACAGTGGTGCAGAGAATTATGGTGGAAATCTCAGTTGGAAAATTAACGTAAGTGGCATCAGGGAGCCTGTAACAATTTGTTAGTGAAATCTGCGGGACTGAGCTTGGCATTTGCAATGGAAATAAAATTGATGAGAGTACAAGAGCTCCAGTTCATGCAATGTGCTTTAACATGACAAGAATGTACACTGTCACTATAACCCGACATTCTGGAAGCTGTGGTAAGCCTGCTGTGGATGAGAGGCAAAGAGCAACCTGCTCAGGCTTGCATTCACGCTCTGGAAGCAAACGCGTTCCCACCCACAGCTCTGCTGTTACAAAGGACAGGAAATGGCCTCCCGAACAATTAAGAGACAGTTGCTCATACAGCCCCATGAATGTTTCCCAAGATGTCAGAGCAAAATGGCTTTCCTCCAAAGTGAAACACATCACTGTACTCTGACAAGCTTAAATTCTGGTTTTAATGAGTTTTCTTTTACTGTTACTGAACTTAGCCCTAAACAGGGAAACAGTTTTTGAGACATTAAACTTAAAATAAGAAAGATCCAAAATAGATTAAATACTCACTCTTGTTGGATATTTGGAGAATATAAACATCAAGAGAATATACATCACAAGCCCACCAAAGGAGATCAGCTGGTGGGGTCCTTGTCTTGCTGTGTCAAAGATGAGCCAGAAAATGATAGCTACAATAACAACTGCACACACTACCCTGCAAGATAAAAAAGTGTCAGGCATGACATTGTGGAGGAGTTCAGAGATTCCTTCCCTCCTATCTGTCCCTGACATTTACTTCTCTGTGAAAAAGATCTCTGAACACAAGTATTAAGCTGAAACATTTAGTTGTACAAAAGCAGGAACCTGTCTTAGCGCTGCTCTCACTGCTACACCCCTCGGTGTCAACCATAAGTGTCTTGCACCTGTGCTCCCAGAGGAGTGACGAACACTCAGTAAAATACAAGTGACGAGGCATTGTTTCTACTAAGTGAAATGTGAAAATATGTCCTCCTTTCCTACTCCATTCTCTTTTTCCTTTATGTCTTCCCCATTGACTAATTTGTTGGATCTGGGTCGGAGCTTCATTTCAAACTGCCTTGTGCACAGAAAATACATAGCATTAAAGAGCAGGCTGCAAACCGCTTACTTCTTTCCAACTGACTGTAGCCTGTTTAGAAAAACAACTTTTAGTCACAGCAATTACATGACAAAAGCAACGTATCCATCAATCTCCACTAACAAAGAGCTATGCACAGTTTCCATATTAGGGCATCTATCCTAACAACAGTCTGAAAGATAGGGGAATACAGCATATAGCTTACAGAGGGGAAAACTAAACACAGTTCAATTTATTTCATATTGATTATGTCCAACTGCTGTTCCACTGATTGGAGTGGTATTTAAATAAATTTACCTATGTAAACTTCTTTTTTTGACCTAAAACACAAGTACTACAGGCTAGCTTCACAAAATTGTCTCCTGCAATGCTGAATAGCACCTTCTGCACGTGAGAGACTTTCTTTCTCTTGGTGATCTGTGATCCACAGTTAACCACTTAACCTGGAACATGCTGTTTAAAGATTGCAGCCTGCCTAATTCAGCATTTACTGCCTCTGAGTTGTTCCATCTACCCACCAAGACTCTCCAGTGCTTTTTGTTCCTTCCCCTGCCAAATTGCCTAACATAGGTTTTCGGGTGCAGCTGCTCCCTGATGTGACTCAAGAGAAAAAGGACCAAAATCTTTGTAGCATTTTTATTTGAAATTTATTCTCCTGGGGCAAACCAATTAAAAATCTTAAGAAAAAGACTAATTCATCATTATTTTGCGAACCTGCAGTGATTCCTTCTTACAGCTCTGTCTCCCTCTGAGACAAGGTGATGCAGCCGAGAATGAAGGATATTGCACAATTTTTTTTTATTTTGAAGACATTTCACTTGGTCTTTGGAAACTCAGTCTGCCTCCTTTCATCCCTCGTTTTCCCAGGAATAAGTTAAATACTCCTGATAGTTGTTAAGAAGTATTTGGAATAAAAATCTTCCATATGTAAGTATCTGCAGGTTATCTACCAGATAAATGTTTACCACTCCAAATAAGATTGTATGATGTTATTACAACATCAAATGTGGCTGCTATGATTTGACTTTTGAAGATTAAATCAGAAAAGCTCTTAGCTCATTTCTGTGGGGGTATGTGAACAAGTAGTGCTTCAATAACACATTTCAGTATTTAATAGTCTACTAAAGTTAGAATTAAGGTGATTTTTGTTGTTGTTTTTCACAAAATTCACAGTTCTCTGAGCAGCTAACAATGGCATTTCTGGCTTGTAGAATGAATACAGAAGGCTATGGCATCCCTGAACTTCTCTGGACATATGCTTCCACAGCAACAAACCCGACATACTTCAATTTGAAGACTTTTTTACTCTTTCTGCTAAGATTTTTATACCTAGCTTTTGCATTGTGATGTTAAGGATGTTTCTAACATGTCTTAACTGGAAGTAATTTATTAGTCTGTGTATACTATCTAATAATGTTTTACTTTTTATGATTAATCTATCTTTCTTTGTTTATGGTCCTTAAGCTTAAAAAAAGCCGTAAAAGTAAACTAACACTTTATTCTTTTGTAAGTAGTTGTTCATATTTACCATTTTAGCCAAAACCACTGTTTCTCCAAATATCTTTCTCCAGGGGAAAAAAATGCTGCAATTCTCTCTTCATACTTCGCTACTAAAAAATCCCAGCAGATGAGGAAGATGGCTAGGACAGTAATGATGAAGAGTGGCAAGGCTCTCTGAAAATTCAAGCTGCAGGCTGCAGTAACTGCTGCCAAATAAGCTGCCAAGAAACAAAATTATACATGTCAGTTATGTCTTGTCTCTTTATAGAGAGAATCAAATATTAAATTCAGTGATAAGAGCATGGGCTAAAGTCGGGTCTGAGCTTAGCTTTGAGTGCTTTGAGTGCTTTTCTGACTCTTATTTTAGATACTGAGAAATTCTGCTTTCACGGATATTGTTACTTATGCTCATTGATATAAAATGTACTGCTGGAAATGGTGGAATTGTTCTTGGCTTTCTTATGTGGAAGCAGAATATGTATGCTTTCACCAAGTCAAATTCATATCAAATATATTCATCACTTGAGAAAATAAAACCATCTGCACAAATGCTTTATCCTATATTAAAAACAGTGAATTAAGAAAAATCGATCTTTCTTTCGCAAGAGGGTGAGTTTATCCAATAAGATCAGAACAAATGTGTAGAAACATTTGCCAATTTTCTGATTTGATGGGCCTCTGAAATAATTGGAAAACTTAAAAGTAGTTTATCTATTTCATAAAGTAGCAATGAAATAATCTGTCATTTGGTACTTTCATTGCTAATGAAATTTTCAATGCTTTTAAATAATAACCTAATTTTGTCTACGGCAAGTAAGAAAGAACTACTGATTTTTGTTAGGCAAGCTGTTTTTCACAGAATTAACATGTAAATCCCTGACAATCTTAGACCTCACCTCCTTTCTTGAGCCAAGATGCACTTACACTATTACAAAGATGAGCTGATGCTAGGAGGACAGGATATTCACTATGCAATAGTCTCTCTTATACCCACTTTATATTATGCTGATGCTTATCTCATAGACATGTTGTAGGTCTACATGTTCTCAGTAAGCGTTCAAGTAGAAAGAAAGATCTCTAATAGAAACTTGGTGAAGTGGAAACAAACCAATCTACTGGATAACTAGGAAAGCAACAAGCAAGAATATTTGAATTACTTTGCAGTGCATGCTGACATACATCAGAATATTTTCTATAGAAAACATTTGCTGTTGCTATTGCATGACATAGGTCAGAACAAAAAACTTTCATTTCCTGCGGAGGTAAGTCTCATCCAGGTTAGTCCATGATTCTTTCTGGGTGATTTCATGGTTTTGAGCATGTTTCTGACATTGTAATTTAATTGCAAGCCACATGGACTGGGCTAGAAATTGATTAGACACAGAGAATAACTAACCCCTATGCCCTAAGTAATAGATAGTCAAAGATAAAACATACTGAAGGAGCACTGTAGCAAGGCCTGTGCTCTTGTTATGTTTGGAAATGAGCGAAGGTTTGCACTTTAGAGCTTTCCCTAGGACTAAGTTCATTTTAACCTCATTTCAAATGCATTTTTAAGGGAGTCAGGAGTAGCTGTTAGAGCTTCTTTGTGTGTGTCAGATGTAAGACAAGCACAGTTTACAACCTCATACAGGTAAATAAATAAAGGTTCACCAACACTGGGTGTAAAATACTGTACCTGTTATTAAAATTCTGCACATCACATACTTAATTCTGGTTCTATATTTCTTGCAAAAAATGCAGGCTTTATCATATTTCTTTTCTAAAAGCCTAGGAAAACATAAAAAACAAACAGAACAGAAACTTGAGCTGCAAATAAAAAAGTAGTTTCCACAGAATTAACAGTTTAAATTGACTACTGGAGTAAATTTATCTACTGGAATGTTTTTAACTGGAGTAAAATCTGAATTTGGATCCATGAGTGCTAAGGAAAATCATTTTGATGTCTGCTAAGATTGTTGATTGTTTCTCTGCTTTGACAACTAAAAGGGAAAATCCAGCTGTTTATCTAACAGGCCAGTCCAGCAGGTATCTACATGTTGGACCAAAGTTAGCAGGCCAGTTCTGCCAGCTCTAATTCTGCGAGGAACTCTGTTTACAAGGTTAGTGCAAACTAGATAAAGATTCAGTGCCCATTACTAGACCCACAGAGATTGTTAGTACAGTCAGTCTATCACTGCTACATAGAGTGGCAGTTTTGCTATTGTTGTGAAGGCCCAACGTTAGAGGAGAATTTCCTAGGAAAATTTGACAGTAAGAGTTTGTCTCAAAACTTGTAGCTTCCACCTGCACTTTTGCATTTGTGGATGCAAAATAATCAACAGAAAGCAAAAATCTCACTATAGTGTGCACAAATGCTTCTCGACTTTAAAATTTGTTACTTACCTATGTCGCTCTGGAAGTAATGCCTGTCATTTATTTCCATGGAAACTACAACAGCTACAAAGAGCACAATAAATCTTTTTGATAGAGCAAATTCTCAGCTACAAAGCCCTGTTTTTCATCATGGTCACCACCATCATCCATGCATTTAACCAATGATGAACAAGTCTGTGTGCTGTGCTTGTAAAAATCTGCATGGCTATCCGGCTATTCTCAACACTGTCATCACCGCTGAAATGCATCACCCATTGCCTCACTGTGCTCACATCCACTGTTTGGTCTCCGTACACAGCAAGCATCATTGACTGCTAGTGATTTCGATTTTTTTTGTATGTAGGAATTCAGTTCCACATCTTTGCTCCATCAGCACTTCCCTGTCAGATGCCATTTTCTCACACTGCCTCCCTGCTGCAGTCAGTCACGTGGCAACAAAAGGTAACAGAATATTGGTGGGAAGGTTCAGCCTCTACTACCATATCACCAACACCCCCCTGCAATGTTGTGGGCCAACATAAAGAAGTAGGAAGCATTACTTTTTGGGAGCAGCCCTTGTACACCAATGTTTCATCTAAGACTCTTCAGTTCACGGGAGGTAAAATGATTTCTAATACTGAATATGTTTTTCTAATGTCTGTTCTTTTCTCATTTTACTAGTGGTAACACAAAATGATTTCACTAGGAAGGCTGAGATTTAGGAAAACAGCATTTTAGATGACAATTCTGCACAGATTTCTGATGTGAAATACGCCGATGATGTTGGTGTATTTTAGTTACAAAAGCTGTAGCTAAATAAACCCCTTAGTATTGCTCAAACTGAAAGGGAATTTACAGCTACAGTTTATGTTCTTGTAAAGTCATGTCTCACACCCTTGCAGTCTATCAAGCAACAATATGTTTAGAGCTGCTAATTGTCCAGACTGTATGTGTTGAAAAACCAGATGCATCTGGAGTCAGATACATGCTGACATTCAGCATGAATACCCTGCTTTTCTGCCGTACTGCATTTGTACTCAGAACAGCAGAGAAGGAACGTTCTTCTTCATTAGTTCAAAAAGTAACAGGATCTCTGAGAAATCTTGACTGCTTTTGATATTCCAGTTGTTTTTTATTTTTTATTTTTTCTTCCTAGGAATTCCTCTTGCCTCACAGATCACAGTCGTTTGCTTTTACTTGTTAGAAAATTAGGTTATACACTCAGTCTCAACAGTGAGATTAGATTCAAGATTAGATACAAGAGAAGAAATAAAAGGAGAAATGAAAGACAGATGCACAAACAATCCAGAGTGACTTTATCAAATTTATTGTTCATCCACCACCAACATAAAAAGGAAAAAAATAATGGCTTTGATTTGGAACTATGTATTATGAGTCTTTTGGGATTTTAAATCACTACTTAATATTACAACTCCTTGTAATTTCTTATTTAATCTAACATCTTTCCTATCTTATTATTTTATCTGTTTAGTGATTATCACTTTGATACCAGTATATCTTAAATATTTCAACATGTATGTTATAAATATACAGCTCTGTTTCTGAAAAGTAGCAGAAGAAAATAGTCTCCCTTATGATGTTTGGTTATCTTGCTAAGTAAACACTGTTTGCTGAAGACTATTGATTTATACTGCAGCACACTGCTGACGGCTTTTACTTAACTGAAGATGTTGAAAAAGCAAATGTATTTTAAGCATACTTAAATGAGAGCTTTAATGTAATACATTTTTGCATATCAACTCTATTACTGCTTGCATTTTACAACTTAGAAATCCTTGTTCTGATCTGCATGTGCTCTGTGAGTGAATGTGCTCACACTTATTGTTATCCACAATCTGATGTTTCAGAGGTTTTGTGTCTCAAATCACAGACTGTTTGATGCCATTTTTTGAAAGAAATCAATGATGCATTCAAAATTAAGGGACACTTTGTGAACACTCCTTTTAAGCAGATAAAATTAAAACATTAGATCACATTATGGCACTGCCCAACAGTATAGGGCAAGCCATACCCTGAATATAATTAGAATAGAGCAAAGTGTTCTTCAGTTTCCAGTCTGCAAAGGAGCTCTCACTGATACCAGATATTGCTGGAAGAACAAGATAGCCTAGAGAATGATAAGGCCCTGTGAATTAAATGCTACTTAGCTCTTGGCTCTCTGTAGGAGTACAAAAATGAGTGACAAATATGGAACTTTACCACTGCCCAAGTGCCTATCTGGGCAGAACTCCCTCCAGTCCAATGAGCCTCTGGACCTGGGTCTGAGGGAAGACAGACACTACTAATCTTGTTCATGTACCAACACTTATTGTGTAATTAGATAATTTTGGAATATGTGTTGGGTACATGTCACTGACATTTGATCTATCAAATCTCAGCTTTTTTTTGTAAAGAACACTGAAAATATTTAACCATGAAATGTTCTCTGTAGAACAGAGAAGAGAAATGAGAGAAAATGTAAAGACTTTAAGGACATCTAGAGACTGTTGCTGGCTCTTTAAAGCAGCATTTTAATGATACAGTGGCATCAGAAAGCCTAATCACAGTAAGAAATCTTGGAAGTTCTGTATGTACAGCTCAAAAGCATGAATGATCACAATTACTGCTACAATATATAACTGTACCATTTGTTCAGGCATGAGATCATTTCAAGTTGTTCAGTCTGAGTTAGAAAAGCTCCTGTTTGGAACATCCAGCAAGTCAGTACCTAGAATCAGCTGATAAAAACAGAGACTCAAAGCTGAAATGGCATGATGTATATTAAGGTGGAGAAATGTAAGTCAGCAGAAAAATTACAGCATGATTTCTATGAGGTTTTAAATAAAGCATCAGTCTGGTGGAAAAATATTAAGATATAAATTACTATTTTAAGTCTTCTATCTCACTTTTTTAGATGTCTTACATGAGATTTATAGTTCTCATAAGGATACTAACCTGCAAATAATTATGAGTGTGTACTTTTACTGTGTAGACTTAGTAACACTGCATGAGAGGCAAAAATGCTGCTAAAGCAAAATGATATATATATTTTTTGTCTATTCTACTCTCAACTTGTGGTGGGGTAACCAGATATGTAAAATGAAGAACAATGTCGAATCTTTGACTTTCTGCAAGAGTTCACTGTTTAAGGCCTTTCTTTTAAAAAGCCCCTTTCAGAAATATTGGAAATGTAATTTCCAGGGCATCCACAGCTTCTCTGGGCAGCCTGTTCCAGCACCTCACCACTCTTTCAGTAAAAGGACTTCCCCAACATCCAATTTAAATCTCCCCTCCTTTAGTTTAAAACTGTTCCCCCTTGCCCTGTTATCATCTACCCTTGCAAAAACTTGATTTCCCTCCTGTTTATAATCTCACTTAAAATATTGGAAGGGCACAATGAGGTCTCCCCACAGCTTCTTATTTTTCTGGCCGAACAAGCCCATTTCCCTCAACCTGTCTTCATAGGAGAGGTGCTCCAGCCTTTGGACAACCTTTGTGGCCCTCCTCTGGACTCTCACCAACAGCTCTACGTCTTTCCTGTGTTGGAGGCTCCAGAACTGGATGCAGTATGACAGCTGGAGCCCCACGAGGGCAGAATAGAGGGGGACAATCACCTCATTTCTTCTGACTGCCTCTGTTCTGATGGAACCGAGGATGTCACTGGCTTTCTGGAATACAAACACACACTGCTGGCTCAATTTGTGAGGTTTTATAATTATAATTCCACAAGTATTTTGGCTGAAAGGTAAAGTGATTTTAAAAACAATGTGTTTCTGTATTACTCAAATCGTGATACAAAGGTCTGCACTGCACAAGGGTATGGCAGCAACGATACGAGCTCTTGCTCCAGAAGCTGGAACACTGGCAGCTGACTGCTTAGGCTGCTATGAAGTGAGTGGATTATTTGTCCATCCAGAAGACATTACCCTTTTAAGCGTAGTTTCTCATCACCCGCTGAGTCATGTTTGTTTTCATGCAGATCACTCTCAATGTTGATGAATTCATCCTCCTGGAAAACAGATCAGTACCAACACTGTCAGAGGGATGCATACTTGTTAAGTAACATGAAAAAGCAGAGATCCCCCCAGGCAGATGGCTGAAACAGTCACAAGACTTCCCTGTTCTGCACTGGGTACACAGCTACAGTTGTCCTGTCTGCCACCAAAACTGTGATTATTAGCAGGCAAATGAGGTAGTTAGTCTGTGACTGTCAACTCATGACTATTTTGAGTTACAAACTTTCTCAAGACTTCCACATGATTTTGAAAGAGAAGATAAAGGAAAAAAAAACCACCTTCCAGTGTTATCTGGAGCTAAAGAGGCACTTATATAAAGCAGCTGTGCATACCTACTAAACAGTAAATGTTACAGGTGGGGATTGTATAACTGCCTACGCACCAACTCACTCAGCACTTACGAGCACAGTGTGATCTTGTCCACAGGGACACATCCAGTATATGCACCTTTCCCTTCCTGCTGGCTGTGCTGTGCTCCTGGCACAGCCTGTGGGCAGAGCATGGGCTGGCACTGGTCCTGTGGACAGGAGGGCAGGGAGCTGGATTCATGTGGTTTGTAAAAACAGGTGCTTGTGCTGACACTTTGCCTTCACCCAGAAGCGTATGTCACTACAGCCAGCGGGCTTAGCATGAAATCATCTCCTTCTGTTTCATACCTGGATCTTCCCTTGTCAGAGAAATTCTGATGTTTCCTCCTGTACTTCATCGCTCGCTTTAAATTTCTTATTTTACCTCGTACTATATATGCAGTCTAACAAGGCAATTTTTTATCAGAAACACTGTGAAGCTCCTCTTTTCATCTCATTTTATGCACTTGCATGTTCTGGTTAGTTTCTGTTTCTCTGCCAAAATGGCAGGGAGCTTTGTTCCAATGCTGCAGAATGCACTCAGCTCTGTCACACTCGGTGGCTATCCTCATGGTGTCTGGGAGGCATGTGGCTTCTCAGATGCCTCTGGAACTGGCTCAGTGCCACTCAGAGGCCCACCAGGTGCCCATCCCTCCTGTATGTACCTTGGTGCTCATGGCAGGGACTAAGGCAGGATTGGCACCCAGGCATATTTGCTGCTGGGACTCCTTGGCATCCAAAGTCAGCACAGCAACTAAATGGCCTAGCTGCCCTCTTGGATTTTAACACCCAGCCTGAGCAACGTGACAGGTCACATGCTCCACGGTATCTGGAAATTCCCACAATGGCAAACCTGTTTTTCTGGGTATGTACTGGCCTGTACTGGGCAGTGTGCTATATACTGCAGGGAGGAAATGTCCCTACAGGACTGGCCTGTGAGTGAGTTCAACTTTTCTATGTCACAAATATTTATAGCAGCTTTGTTCCCCAAGCTGCCTCTTGTATATCAGAGTATATCCTGAAGCATGACCCTGCTTTCAGAATGGCTCTTCTGCCCATGCTGGGATCTTGCCATTCTACTGACAGTTCTGGTGAGCTCTCCATTAGCATCTGGCTAGAAAATCTCATGGGCAAAGCTGGCAAAGGATGGTCATGTAGCCAGTGATTAAAATGGCATGTAGGAGACATGGAAACTGCTATTCGCTCCCCTACAACAAATCCCACAGCAGAGCAGATGTTGTGAAGCAATGCAAATCTTGTGCTCTAAGCTATATCAAGTTTATTTCCATAAACTTGATTTCTTTCTTTCTTTCTTTGTTATCTGTTATGAAATCATAAATTGCAAATCCCGCCACCTGCTGAATTGCTATTTTTTGGTAGTGGGGAGTGGTCCTCCCAGCAGCTGCCAAAAGTTGACTTCTTCCCTATGGGGCAGTGATTGCAGAGGCAACAGAAGTGTCATTTTTTTCTGAGCTTAACTTCAGGTTCTCACAAGGTTATGAATTTGTAGGGACAAAAATCTCAGGCCTACCTTATAAATTAAAAAATCGAGAGTGAATTGCCTTCTGTGTTGAAGACCTATGCTTCCAATTTTGTGGATCACTGTGCTCTCCTTAGGGCACTGTGTCCTTTCCCTAGGCTACAAGTGATACTGATGTCCCAGACATCCCTCTTCTCTCTTCTCCGCTGCCCTTGACAGACATGCTTCACATATGGCCAAGGCCAAACTGTACCTCCCTGTTCCTTTCCCCCATGCTGCCATGTCATCCTAAGGCCAGGAGCTCCCCTAGATCACTCACAACCTCACCGTGGTTCTTTAAATCCATGAAATACACTGGCACAATAAAGATTCCAGGCAGTGAAAGGTGGGAAGAATTGTTTTCAAGTATTTATCTTGAGAATATCACCTTTTTGTTTTAACTGAGTGATTTTTACTTTTATAAAAAGTATCAGTCTATCTTTTTAACACTGTTTGCAATGTACTTCAACAGATCCAGAATATTATGTTAATCCTTATTGTCATAAATATGTATTGAAGAAAATCTGAAATCAAAGATCTTATTGTGCCTAACTCTGTGCACAAGGGAAAGAGCAAATTGATCCAAACCCTTTCCTTCTTTTCAGTTTGGTCACATAATGCTAGATTTGGGGAGGTGGAGGTCCTTGTTGAGTTTAACCCAAGGCCTATGTGAAGGACATAGGCTTCTGCCTCTAGGTGCACAGAAGGCTGTTCTAGTTTGCTCCAAATTGACCATATCAGCTCTTTTCTTACAAAGACATAATATGTCTATGAATCTCTGTAGATATGCATATCTACAGGCATGTTTGTACAAAGTACTGACTGAACATTGTCAGCTGAACTGTTTCAGTGGTAAACTGGTTTCTTTTTTATTTTACGATTTTATGAGGGCTGCTCTGAAAATAAAGTCTTTTTGTTTATTTTTCCTATGTTGGCCCATGATGACAGAGGCAGATGTTGGTGGTATGGCAGTAAAGGCTGAACCTTCCTGCTAGTATTTCGTTACATGCTGTCACATGTGACAGATGGTAGCAGAGGAGCACTCAGAGCACGGTGTCTGACATGGAAGTGTATATGAAGCAGAGGTGTGTCATTAAATTCCTGCACACAGAAAAAATTTCACCCACTGGCATTCATCAACATTTACTGAATGTTTAAGGAGACCAAACAGTGGATGTGAGCTCAGTGAGGCAGTGGATGGTGCATTTCAGCGATGATGTTAGAGATGTGAAAGACAACCCATGTTACACGTAGCCATGCACAGCTGTGACACCATAAAATGAAGAGTCTCCACCAACTCATCTGCACAAATCAGCGAATAATGATCAGGGAACTGTGTACAGAGCTGAACATTGGCTTCACTGCCTTGGAAATTATAGCAGCAGAATTGGAATACCACAAAATTTGTGCCAGGTGGGTCTCACAGGTGGGAACACAGGAACAGAAAGAACACTGTATGCAAGTTTGTTAGGAGCTATAAGACCAGTACAAGGTGACAATTTCCAGAATCACATAATCGGTGACAAGATGTCCTGTCATTACAGTGAACTGGCATTCAAATGACAGCCTGAGGGAGGAGTGGCAACACAAGAAGTTCAAGACAAGGTCTTGGTGGGTAAAGTGATGTGCGCTGTGTTCTGTTATAGGAAAGGGGTGATCTCTCTGGATTTCCTGGAACTCAAACAAACCATTTACACTGATCACTACATTGTGATCCCAGATAAGCTAAAGGCTCAAACTTCCACAGTCTGGCCAGAGAAGAAGACAACTTTTCTGTGATGATGCTAAGCTCCATATCAATTGAAGCATCATGAAGCATGTTGCCAATCTTGGTTGGACTCACTTGGTTGGTATCACTCCCAACATACCTTCTGGATTTATCATCTTCTGACTTCATTTCTTCAAGCCGATCACAGAATGGCCGGGGTTGGAAGGGATCTCAAGGATCATGAATCTCCAACCCCTCTGCCACATGCAGGGCCACCAAACTCTCCATTTAATACTAGACCAGGCTGTCCAGGGCCCCATCCAATCTGGCTTGAACACCTCCAGGAACAGGGCATCCACAACCTCTCTGGGCAGCCTGTTCCAACACTTCACCACTCTCTCTGTCAAGAATTTCCCCCTGACATCCAACCTAAATCTCCCTTCTCTCAACTCAAAACCATTTCCACTTGTCCTGCATTTATCAACCCTTTCAAAGAGTTGATTCCCCTCCCCTCTGTAGGCTCCCTTTAGGTACTGAAAGGCTGCAATGAGGTCACCCCGCAGCCTTCTTTTCTCCAGGCTGAACAAGCCCAGCTCCCTCAGCCTGTCTTCATAGGGGAGCTGCTCCAGTCCCCTGATCATCTCTGTGGCTCTCCTCTGGACCCTTTCCAACAGCTCCCTGTCTTTTTTGTACTGGGGGCTCCACACTTGGACGCAGTATTCCAGATGGGCCCTCACAAGAGCAGAGGAGAGGGGGACAATCACCTCCCTGTCCCTCCTGGCCACCCCTCTTCTGATGGAGCCCAGAATACCATTTGCTTTCTGAGCTGCAAGGGCACACTGCTGGCTCATGTTAAGTTTTTCATCTCTCAAGACCCCCAGGTCCTTCCCTGCAGGGCTGCTCTCAAGGACCGCTCCTTCCAGTCTGTACGGATGCCTGGGATTCCTTTGGCCCAAGTGCAAAACTTTGCACTTTGCTGTGTTGAACCTCATCAGGTTCACCCGGGCCCACCTTTCAAACCTCCTGATGTCCCTCTGAATGGCATCCCTTCCACCGCACCGCTCAGCTTGGTGTTGTCAGCAAACTTGCTGAGGGTGCACTCGATTCCGACATCGATGTCATTAAAAAAGATTAAAACAGTTAAAGAGCACTGGTCCCAACACAGACCCCTGGGGGACGCTGCTCGTTACTGAACTCCACCTGGACACAGAGCCATTGATGATCACCCTCTGTCTGCGGCCTTTCAACGAGTTTCTTATCCATCGAGTGGTCCACCCATCAAATCCACATCCCTCCAATTTGGAGATAAATATTATCTAATGAAAGATGGGCTGTGTCCAATTTTCCCAGCAATTATGCCACTGTAGCAGTTGTTAAACAGTGGTTCACTTCCATTGCTGCAGGTATTTACAAGCACAGCATGCAGACTCTTGTTCATTACTGGCAAAATGCATAGCTAATGATGATGTCTATGTTGAGAAATAGTGTTTTGTAGTTTAGCATTTCCTTTATCAAATATATTTACTGTGCACTTTGTAGCTGTTGTAGTTTCCATGGAAATTAACAGAATCATAGAATCACCAATGTTGGAAAAGACCTCCACGATCATCCAATCCAATCATCTACCTAGCACTAGTAGGTATTTCCTCACTAAACCATGTTGTTCATCACTAAATCATGTCCCATGTTTCTTGAACACTTCCAGGGACAGTGATTCAAGGATCTGATCAAATATGTACATTTTTAGGCTCATATGATTTCCAACATTCTGCACGTGCCTAAAACTTCCCATTTTTAATGTGGTCTGTTAGTGGGTCTGAAGACAGACACTCTTCAAGTGCTATTGCATAAATAGAAGGTATCACTTTCAGAGTAACTTACAGAAACCAAACTTTCATTGACTGCCACTACTTCTCTTGGTTTTAAAATTTCCAACAATTCTGAAAGTTCTTTTATTCCATTCTTTGCATTCTTTCCTTCTTGATGACTTTTTGAAGAGGCAGATACAGACATTGCCTACCACATTCCTAGGATGTCACATCCCAGTTTCCAGGTCTATGTATCAGAATAATGTGTGTGATCCCTTCCATCATTACAAATTTAGAATCACTTCAGCTTTGAGAGGCAGGAGGAAAGCAGAGTCATTTCTTTGGCAATTTCTCCCTCTGTTTATATGCAAAACTCATTGAAAGAAAGAGAGGAACATCCAACACCAAATAAGCTCTATTTCTTTCATGTAGTTTCAGATCCTACATCATACTTATTAAATAGACATGATTACAAAACAGGAATGTATGTATACATATATATACATAAAGTATTTACCAAGAATTCAAGACAATGGGTTATTTTTATTTTATTTTATTTTATTTTTTGTATGGGTGTGAAAATAGATGACATTAGAAAATATCCACTTTTGGAAAAAAAAGGTTTTGTGTAAAAATGATTCCTACCTTCATAGTTAGCTACTCACTATGTGGATTTAGACAAACTGACAGTAAAAAAAAATTAAAATAGTTATGTTTATGAAATCATTTGTATTGTTTTTGTACTTTATTCTTTTCTTTCTCTCTTTGGTCAGTCACAAGCCAGAGCTGTTGCCTCCAGATTGTGTTTTTTTCTGAAATTTTCCCTGTTTTGGATCCATAGATATATGATAATATCTGTGATCTGACTGAAAGACAGCATTAATCACAAATAATGTTCCCAGGTCCTCTGTTTTCAACTTTTCAGTAGAAAATACTTCTGTGTCAAGTCCTTATCAACAATATTTCCTCTGATCACCATTTCTGATACCTGTTTTGCATCTTGCATGAAGCTACGGCGATACTAGAAAACTAAATTTTTCAGAATCCTATTCTTAAGTGTTCTGTTAATTTTCTGTGTTTTTTTTTTTTTTTCCTTAGTATATTTCAGAGAACAAAATTGGCCTCCCTGTTAGCTTACAAATATCTGTCTTAGACATAACAGCCTCTCACATGGAATTTGCTGCTAATGAATTTACATCAGGCTTCTAAAAACTGTGGTTTTTTTCCAAAAGAAAAAGGCTAGAAGCATACCTGATTAGTATGTACGTTTTTCTCATGTTGTGAATTCTCGATTCTCTGTAAATTGTCTTGAAGATCTTCCTTATTTACGATGTCAATGTCTTCATTGTCATTCTGGGGTACAAGAAGACCAAAAATGGTGTCAATTCGTATCAAAAGCAAAACCCTTTCTTATGTCAAATGAGAGCTGGTTTATTCTATGATTCCTGAGCTTCCATGTTTCACTTTAGTACAGAAGAGCCCAAAACTCAGTACTCGAAATGCATGTACTCTTGTCCTTGTACTTCTACATAAAGCTGTGTTGATCACAAACACAACTCAGTGTCAGTCTGCTGTTTTCTTGACCTAAAGAAGCATTTTCTACTCTTTGCCTCAGAACTTGCTTAACACACTAAAAAAGATGTGTTCATTCTTCCCATTATAACAAAATGACTTATTTGGGTGTTAATGGCCCAGGCTGTTAGAGTCTTTTTTTTTTTCAAGACAGTGCTTTTTATTAATGCATGCATGGCATATGTGTACAATGTTTTAACATGTATTTCAATTGCTTCTGGAATAAAACTCAGGAGTGTTTTTAAAGGCAGTAGTTAGCTTTATTACACTCACTCTCTGTGGTATGCTTTTTATTAGTGTGTGCTAATTGGCTGTACTTTTCTGCCACTTGTAACAAGTTCCACTATTTCTACATATTTCTATTTTGAAGCCAAGTTTTCTTGTTTCCTTCTTTCTTTTTCTTTTTTTTCTTCCTTTCCCCCTCCCCCCTTTTTTCCTACAAAACAGACATTTCAGTGTGTTCTATTCTATGATGCATGTCATTAATATGGTAAGAAACAGCATGTTACCTACATTTAGTCTTCTAAGAAAATAAACGTTTTCAGGCGAACAATACAAAATAACCTTAATCATAGTGCATTATGATAAAGGCAAAAATGAATAATGCTTCTATATAAATTAATTTTGCCTTTTAGCAGAAACGTGAGTTTAAAAGCACCCAGAACACATTACAGTAATGTGTTCTTCTTAAAGATTGTCTAACTTCACAGAAGAAGTGTCAGTAAAAGTGTTGCTAGAACTGAGAAAAGAGAAAGGCATCACAGAAGCTGTCTCTGTGGCCTCAATAAACCAAAAGCCAATACACAATTTCCATTCCCTGTCTTAAGAAAAGAGTAGCTTTACATCCCCTTCGAAGAGTGATGTTTCTTTTTGAAAGAGAGCCTCTGTTACTTGTCTGTCTTCTGACTATGCTGTCTTATACATTTCCTATAGCTAGTCCCGCAGTCCATGCTTAAAGCCTCTACTGAACATTCCCTACAGCTCAAAAAAAGCAAGAGCAATGCTTAACTATGGGAATTAAATTTAATATATGAGAAATTCTACATAGAATAGTGAAGTTGAACTGATCCAGTTCTATAATTAATAAGCACAAAGGACGATGTTCTCCCTGAAGATTTCAGTGCTTGTTACTGAGAGCAAGAAAAGGCAGTGATTTCTTAGGATTTTTGCTCAAGAACACGTGAAAAACAGAAAGTATGTTGATTGCTGCCTTCAGACAAGTTGCACAGAATAATTTGTGTTGGAAAAACCTCTAGAAGTTGCTTTGTACAACCCTGTTCTCAACCGCATTGGTTACGTAAGAGTTTCATTTTTAGAGTGATTAAAATATATGAATGTATGAGCAATATGGAGGATGACATTGTTGCTGAAACTCTTAATAATCTGCACATTGAATGATAGCAATGTATTATTTTCTACAAGCATAAGAAGTGCTGACTTCAACGGATCACACCATGTTCCTGGCATATTCCAAATTTAGTAGGAACTGATTAATCACTATTGATAGCAAGATTAAGTCAGAGAGGTTTAGTAAAAGACTAAGAACAGTCTTTGAATGGGTGCCATGAAACAGAGCATTTTTAATGTATTGGCAAATAATCATCTTTCCTCCTTTCCATTTAAAATTTTCTTATCCTATTTGGTGAAAAACATGTTGTTTTAACCTTATTTTAACCTAGACCTTGAAGAAAAATAATTTATCAGATTTCTCATCAGAATAGCAATATTCAGGTGACAAAAAAACCCCACCATAT